GAAAAGGGTTAGAGATGTAGCTTAGTGGTAGAGTACTTGCCTACCATGCACAAAGCTCTGAGTTCAATCCCCAGTGCTCCAAAAATAACAAAGGAACAGAATGAATCACTGGTGAAACAAAGCAACACTGGAAGTCAGACAGTCTCACTTGAACCTTAGCTGCATGACTTGGTTGTTTTACCTGCTCATTTCTCTGTCTATAAAATGGGACAGGCATAGGGCTTTTCTTAGAGTGGTTTGAGGGATTAAATTAAGCAATACAGGAGAATCGTTTAATAATTTCTTTCTCTACATTTTTCTTTTTTTTCCTAATTCAAAGGACGCTTCCCCTTTACTGGCTTACTGCTATTTAGAATGTAATTTTTGTTAAGACCTATAGTCCCAAAGGAGAAAATCGAGACTAAGAGAGACTGAATGAATTACTTTTGATCACTTGGCAAAAGTGGGCAAAAATCAGTTCTAGAATTTAACTCCTAGTTTTGATCAGTGCATTTAGCTTCTGTTCCCTTTACAGAGAGCCCTTTATACTTTATATAGTATGCAAACTCAGTAGAGTTATACAGCTGTTACTTTGAATTTGCCCATTAATTGAACTATGTAAGGGAAAATCAAATTTTTTTCAAACAGTTAAATACTTATTTTTCAAATCACTACTCAGTGCAGAGTATTATCAAATATACACTATTGTGTTATGGCTTGTTAGTTCACAAACGTGAATGCAAAAATTTTATACTATTAAATATTTTAGCATTAAAATATCAGAGATAAAATTATATAGACGACCAATGGCTAAGAAATATGCATTAAGTTCCATTGCTTAACATAGATTTCTACTATGCCTGTGAAAATTACTTTAAATTATACAAATATTTGGAATATGTCTATCCCTGCAACTCAACTCTGTACCCTAAAATGACACAAGGATTGCCATGCCAACTTGGACATTTATATCTTTCCAAAATGGATTAAGATCATTATTGGTTGGAATGAGAATTTTTCCTGATATTCTACAAATGAACTTAGAGGAAATATTAGCAATGGGGTTAGAGATCTTCATCCCTTGGATGGAGGTTGTTGGGTCTCTGAGACATGTTATGAAGAGTCTTTGCCAACAAGCCCTTTGGAACTACCATGCCCATGACAACAAGGTGTGAAAACCAGATTATTTTCAAGTCTGATGAATGAGTCCAGCTGTTCTGTAGACCACTATGGGATATATGAGAACATGGGATCACAGCAACATGCATGTTTATCTCACTCCATCCTTGCAGTGAACTAGGTCTCCTGGGAATTCTCTTAAAGAACAAGTTTGGACAGAGTCATGTTATAAGCAAGTTGTCCCTCTAAATTCCAGCTAAGCATAAGGCAGAGTTTGAGTTTGTAAGAGAAAGAGGCTAAAGAGCTGTGCATGTTCTTTAGACAAAGATAATTTGTCACCTCATTTCCATTAATCCCTGTTTCCATTCACTTTGTTCCAAGAGCTCCGTTTTGTAAATCTGTTGTAATGTCTGTATTAGTCCACCAAGCAGTGTGTCCATTCCGTCTTTTACTCAAAAAACTTTTATTTATTTTATTCAAAATGCTAACTTATATTTGGTACCTGAAAATATAACTCTGACATATAATTCCAGTGGGGGATTACACTCCAACGGGGCAATCAGGCAAACAGATGACTAAATGTGTTGTAACAAATGGTATAATGAAACACAAATACGGGCCAGGGATGTAGCTCAGTGGTGCCACCACCTCCCTCACAAGCAAAAGGCCCCAAGTTTGATCTCCGGTACCAAAAACAAAACAAAAATACAAATACAAGGAAAGTTCCTAGTCTTCCTTCATGTTGATGGCAGTGTGATCTCATCAGCAGCTCTTTAGAGAAGACTTCCAGATGAGTCAAGGTCCTGCACACTCCTGTGATCTCCAGTACAGCAGCCCTTATTGAACTTAAATTGTAAGTTCAGTAAGATAAAATAAAATTGAAAATTCAGTTCTGAGTCCCACTAGCCACATCTCAAGGCCCAATAGCTACATGTGACTAGCGGCTATCATATTGAACATCACAGATAAGAACATTCCCATCATTACAGAATCTCCATGAAATAGCATCAGACTAAGTAGAGCTAACAGTCTCAGAAGGGTTGATTTTCCAGGAAGAATAAACAGAGTCAGCTGAACCATAGAGATAGTGGGGAAAAGCATTAAAATGTTATTTTAAAAAGTTATTTTTAAATTTATTACTTTTTCAGGAAGCATGTGCTGTTTATACTGCATCCTGTTTCAAGATGTAAGTTTCACTAAAATGCATAGGACATAATCCTATCTTCTAAATAACTTACATGAGCACCTTGATAAGGTAGTAATTATTAAAATTAACCATAGACACACACACACACACACACACACACAAATATATTTGAGTTCAGAAGAGGGATTGTTACTTCAAGTGTAAGGAAATGGGTGTGGGGAAGGGGAGATGAAGTTCAGGTCCGTCTGCAGGATTGGTGAAGTTGTTGCTTGTGATCTGAGCCTTAAAAATCTATTAGGATTCAGACAGGGAGCTGGCATTAAATTCCTTACCTTGGTTTAAAAAAATTGAATTTTCACAAAGTTTCTACAGCATTAGGGTCCAGCAAACAACTGCGAAGCTGAGGCTCTCCCCACTGGCGTATTCATTAATGTCTTTTTACTAAGACTGCTCTATATACAATAGAGAGCTTATTTGGCTGTGCCAACTTACACAGAATAGTCCCCCTTCTAAATGGTGGTAGCATGGATTAGTTCAGGGAAGTTTGTATTAGGTGGCTAAGAAAAGGATTTGGGAGAGGGGAGTGTTAAGGATTATGCAAATCACTGGCTGATGTGTGGGTTGCATGCTGGAAAGATCTGTAAAAGCAGTTTTTATGCACTAGTAGTTGACAGATGTAACTTAACATTTGTAGGCGAATTACAGGGTAGATAATGTGGACAAGTCCAGGGAAAACAGAAGTAAACATCCATGACATATATACATTTTATTCTCTGAGTCATATATACTTATCCCTGGCCATTTATTCCATGAAGTTACACACAGATTTCCTGGAAGTAGAATCGCTCAGTGACCCTTTTCCTTTTCTGTTTGGCATTTTTCTTCTGTTGGGAGTGTCTGCAATTGAGCTCTTGCTTATTACGAAAGCCACTGAGCTTTCCATTTTGGGAGTTATAGTGTTCCTTGTTTGGACAACACCAGTCAGAGAAACCCTTCTGAAAGAATTCTTCTAATTATCCAGGGAGAAAAGGACTCACAAGAATGAGAGAGAAAGATCTTAGCCAAAAATATATAAAGTGTACTGAGATCCAGGTTCAGGTTTGATCTTTAAAAATTATGTAAAATAGTAATTGAAATAAGGGGGAAAGTTTTCTAGAGCACTATTTAAAATAGCCTTTACAATGGGATAACTGAGACTTGCTTCTGTGTCCTTTTCCAGTAGAAATAAAAAGGTAATGAGAAAGTTGATGTGTATACTTTGGGAGAAGAGAGGAATTTTATTTTTTCCACTGTCACTTGTTATGTAATTTGTAAAATTTAGTTAAGTGTAGTTTGATATTTATTCAGGCAAAAGAAATTCAACAGGACAATGCTATATCTGGATCTTATGTTTTGAATTTTTCATCACCAGGAACACATTCTTGGTGTTCACGGAACACCATGGAATCATGGTCACACAGGGATTTTTTACACATTTGTTAAATGAGTTGATTTTTGCTTGACTAAAGGTTGTTGTGTTACCAAAAATGCTAAGGAGTTGCGCACATTTCCTAAGGTTTGTGATGTTGCCCTTATAACTTCCAGGTAGATCTTCTGCAAATAACTCTAGTAAAGGCAGACCCTGCCTCTCACACGTGGGTGATGTTCCCAAAGTGTGTTTAAAAATCAGTCATTCAGAACTCAAAGCAGTTTTCCTCACTGGAAATGTCAGAGATGGTTACTTTCCCAGGACTGCCACAAAAGCCTCTTATTACATAATGCCTCTGGGAGCCCCATACATGTAGACAGGAGGGTGGGCTGCTGTGGAGCAGGATCCCCTCCCACCATGCCCAGGGATGGCACTTTTTATTTGCCACGGAAGCTGCTACCTGGTTTCAAGGAGAGAAAAACAAAAAATACGACTCTCTCTGGGGGATTCTGTCTCTGTAACTACCTCAGGCACAGCATTTTGAACATTTCCCAGTCAGGATGCACTATTTTCTTTTAAGACTGCTCAGTCAGTACCTCTGGAACTAAGTACATTTTGAACTTTTTCTTCTTTTAGTAATGTAAACCTCAATATGGCAGTTACTGGATTTAGAAACCAGAGGAATGATGATCACAAAACAATAGAAATCAATGTCCCTGGGATTTATCATTAGCAAGGGCACACAAGCTTAAAATACCAACATTTTGATGACCTTTAAAAATAGCTAGTGTGCTGTTCTCACATTTGATTGATATATTATGACTTTTTTATATCAGAGCAATTGATTGATTCTTTTTCTCGTGGAAACCAGAAATACGAGTGATTTAGATGACCTACAGAAAAATTAAAACTTCCCTCTGCCAGGGCTGAACTAATTGAAGCACTCCTATATGCTTACTTCATATTAGAACAAGAACAATCCTTCATCTTTTCCTGACCATTAATAATGCCAGAAATGTCTAACATCTTTTCCCACCTAGAGAATGTATTTTGGATTCATTAAGACATAAGTTATTATCCCACCAACATGCATGCACCTATTATGATATACTTGGGAATTTTCCAGTTAGGATTGCTTTTTCTTGCTTTACTTTTACTCGGTGGGAGTTGAGTTTGGGCAGTGCCAACCCTAAGGTGACCCTGCTCATTTCTTATAGTGATTCAAGGCTATTTCTGAATAAAGGAAGAAATAATAAAATCCAGGGAAGTGGATATTAGGAAACAATTTGTTTCTGTATTTATTTGTTAGAGCTGAAATAACAAAGTAAAGTAGCACAAGCTGGGTGGCTTAAAGGATGTATTTATTGTCTTACAGTTCTGGAGACTGCAAGTCCAAGATCAGATAATCGATGAGACTGTTCCTTTACTAAATTGGGAAGACTCTGTTCCAGGCCTCTTTCCTCAGCTTGTAGAGGGCCATCTTCACCCCGTGTCTTCACACAATCTATCCTATGTGCTGTGTCTGTATCTTAGTCTTCCTATAAGGACACAAGTCATATTGAGTTAGGGCCTGTCCTCATGACCTTCTTTTACCTTCGTTACCTCTTTAAAGGCCCTGCCACCAAATACAGTCACTTTCTGGGGTACAGAATTAGGACTTATACATATGAATATGAGGAGGGGGGATAAGAGTTTTCAAAAGCAAATCTTAAGATCTTAAGCAAAAGCCTAAGTAAGACCCCATAATTTATCTTTGCAAAATCAAATCGTGAATTCCACCAAGTTCTGTGAGAATCTGTAAAGCTTGATCAAGTTGGCCTTTCCAAAGAAAGGTCTCCCTTCATTAATATAGCAGTTTTCAGATTGGCACATTTTGGAAGCTGCAAAGCAGGCAAGAGAATACCCAAGGTACAGATTTAAGAAAGCACTTGCACTCAGAGTTGCACATGAATACAAAATCGCTCTTGATATGCTAGCAGAAGCCTGAGAGAGGAAGTCAAAACAGCATTCATGTTCCAGTCACTTCTTTTTCAGCACATTTTGGTAAATACCTAGCATTTCAACGTTCTCAGAGGTAAACTAAAAGTATAACTGCTATCAGGAATTGAGAGGGATCCTGAGGGATCCCAATGGGTATTTTGAGTTATTAGTGTTAGTCACTAAACCAGGAATAGATTTTTTTTTTTTTTCTTTTTTGGTACTAGGGATCGAACTCGGGACCTTGCGCTTGCAAGGCAGAAGGTGGCACCACTGAGTTAAATCCCCTGGCACAACCAGGAATAGATTTTGAGGTCCCTGAGCCGTATCTCTACATTTGTAATCCAATGCGATGATTGCTCTTACTTGATCGTATTCTCAGTTTTAGTATCAGACGATGAGTTTTCCTTCAAAAGTGACATGGTTGATGAGATGGTGAATGTTACTATTTTCTGAGAGACCAACAAGGAAAGATTAAATTCAAGCCTTCCAAAATTAACCTTTTAATGTGCACTGGACCCTCTGACCCTCCATTTTTGCCTAACAATGTATAGTTCTCCAGAGAGCCTGCTGGAAGCCTCCTGTTGGAATTCCAGCCCCAAGCTTCCACTCACCGTCCTCAGCTCAGTACCTTGATGTAATTCTGCAGAGCCTGACGAAATATGACCTTATTCCAAGGGGAAAATAAAAGCGGTCTCTACTGTACTAAAAATATACTGTGGAATTTCCATTAGAAATCGGTCTCTCCAGAAAGGGCTAATGGGTATAGGGATAGGACAAATAACTGCGGGGTAACTATGACAACAGTTAACTGAGTATTTCAAAATCACGAGTAGAGATTTTGAAGCTTCCCAGCACAAAGAAATGACACATTTGAGGAGATGGATATGCCAATTACCCTGATCAGAGCATTACACTTTGTGTACATATACAGAAATGTCATAAATTTATATGGATAATTTCTGCATGCTATTTAAAAGTGAAAATGTATTTTTGAAGTTGGTCTGTCAGAAGATGCAAAGCCAATTTTATAATGACCTTTTTCAGAGTAATATTAAAAGACTTATGATTAATCCTAGCAAAAATAATTCTTCAGCAACATGGAGGGAGAGAAATTTTGGTTATAAGTCCAGTCTGCCTATAACTTTCTTATTCTTTCACTACTGTAGAGCAACCAGAAAAATTCTGTTGAGTGTGGCATTGGTGTATAGTAGCCCATTTTAATCCCAAGAAGGCTACTTGCAGCTAAACTTTATAAACTAAGCCCTTGCTGCTCAAAGTGGGGTCCCTGGACCCTCAGCATCACCTAGGAGCTTGTTAGAGATGTAGACCTGCATTTAATTAACACCCCCAGGAGCTGGGGATGTAGCTCAATGGTAGAGCACTTGCCTAGAATGCATGAATCCCTGGGTTCAATCCCCAGTGGGGAAGGGGTCAAGGATTAACACCCTCATGTGGTTTGTAGGACATGAAGCACTGAGAAATACACATCTAGAAACTGTTGAACCTGGAGAGATTCCAGCCCAAGACAGGAAAAGTTTGAATTGTCTTCTCTATCCAAAAGCTGATCATTACCTTTAGCAGTTACAGGAGATAGATGCCTCTTTCCAAACAAGTCCTCTCATAGATGGTTCCTGATTTATCCATTCTGTTTGGGTCCTTTTGGTTCCTAATGAAGTTTAATTGATTAGCTCTATTCGTGAAAAGCTTAGGCTCTAATAAGCACATTCCCACTGGGTACACAACTAAATAGTTTATGAGGTAATTCGTATTTTAATGTCTTTCCTAATGAGCCCTTTCAGTAATGAAATCCCCAGGGAAAACATTATTGGTCTGCAGACATTTTTTAGGATACTAAGGCAGGAAGGCTGATGAATGTGGAAGTTTTAGGCTGTACTGTAGAAAATAGCTTATAGATCAAAATAAGCTTGACAACTTTGTTTTCCAGAAAAAGTTCCAATAAAACTTTTACATTTATTTTCTAAACTCATATATTTACAATCATTTTCTGTATTAGAAATAAGATTCTCTTTTCTGAGGCAGTTCTGGGACTCCTTATCTCTGCAGTAACAAGGGTTGCTACTGTGTGCAATCTTACATGAACAAGAAAGGCAGACAGGACGAGAAAAAGGGAGACACAAACACATGTGCCACTATATGCTGTTCTTGTTCAGTGACTTGACATTTTTTCAAAGTCTGTATTTTGAATCTTCTCAGCAGCATCACTTCTGTAATTGTTGATGAAGGCATCAATCGCTTCTCATTAATGCTAAAGCCAAAATGAATCCACAATGAGAAAGAAGTATTTCGAACTGCAAAGTGCTGAGCAATAAGACAGTTACATGCAACGTGGCAGAATTCTGTCCAAAGGCAGTCAGAGCTAATCCCCTTTAAGAGAGGAGGGAAACAGTGTCCTAGGGTCGTTGGCAGCTCTGTCTAGAACCCGTAAGGACAAAAAGGCCTCACCTTCTGCTTCTAGAGCTGAGCAAAGAGAAGATACGTAGGCTTGAGTCCCAATTTGAAGTCAGACAGACACTCAGGCAAGGGACACCCATCCAGACATGTTTTCCCCAAGCTCTCCCTCTGAAAGATCCGGGTTCTGACACTGGGCTGAGCTGGCTAGGCTGGCTGGGTGCCAGTGGCCTGCTCTGTAGATGAAGAGTCATAGATTGACCCTATTTTGTAGAAAACAAGTCAAAGTCTCACAGCATGTATTAGATGCTAGAAAATGTTTAACCAATTATGCCCTCTAATTTGTTAAAAAGCATAGGAAGAAAAGGGCTAAAGGTGTAGGGGAAGTGGGAAGGGTAGGGGAAAGGAAATAAGGGAAAAGAAAAAAATCTGAGAAAATGAAAAAATGGAAATAAATTTTTTGTAAATAGGGAAGGGTGGAGGGAGTAAAGGGAGGGCAGGGGTATGGGGAAAAATGAGAACAAAGACCTGTCATGTAAAGGTACAAGATCCCAATGATAAATGTAACTGTATTGTATACCTAAAAAGTACTCAATGAGGAAAACTCAATGAGGGAAAAAAAAAGGCATACCTCCATTTGAATGAACACACTACTTTTTTTAAACTGATAATGGAGATGGAATCTGGAGCAAGTCAGGAAGGTATCCCTGAGAGAACCTTCTACAATCCCTGTTCATGGTAGTGTCTTTGGTCCCAGAGGGGAAAAACCAGAACAATACAGTAGGTCAGTGAAAGTATTACCATTGGCCATGGTTTACAGATGAAGGTTTGTTACCTGATGGCTTTGGATAAGCAGGATAAAAATTAATGAATCAGTAGGCCATGAGGTTTAATAGCATGCCTGCAGCTTATTAGGAAAAGGGACAGGGAAGAGCTCTTGTAGTGTTTCGTTTTCTTACAAGCAAGGTCAGGGCTGCCTTCATGGTAGTGTGTGCAAGTCTAGTTCTATATAAGCTACATTTAGTGGTAAATCCCTGAATCTGTGTGCATCTAGGTTCTTATAAATAAGACAAGCAAATAAACTGCTTTGAAACCCAAATTGTAACTCTAGCTGTCACGAGAGAGAACATTATGTATAGGCAAGAGAAAGCTCTTTATTCAAAGCCAAGGTTGTTAATCTGGAGGATAGAGTCTACACTCTGAGAGTAACCCTGTCAAAACTACAGAATGTGTCTGAGTCAAGAAGGACTGATTGTTAGAGCTCAGGGTTATGAGATGAGGAGAAAAGCCCAGACTTCTGGACGGGACTCTTCAAATGCCCTGGAGGCACCTTCAAAGGCACTCTTCAAAGGCTCTGTGGAGGCACCTGTATCTTTGAGAAGTGAGATTTCAGTATCTATGAAACAAATGGAGCTAGAAGTCAGCGTGGAGCGTCATAAGCGAAAAAGCTTCAGCTCAGAAGCATGCCAGTGAGGAAAAGTAGCCCTCCAGAGCCCCAGTGTGCAATTAGGAACTGAGACAGTGTATAGGTCTTACCTTTCAGGCCCTGAGACAGCAAGTTTGGGTGCCTGGAAAGAAACTGAGTGAAAGATGAAGGGATGCCCCAAGGCAGTTTTTATTCCAGTGGATTCTCCTTTGTAGCGGCTCCTCTGCACAGGGGAAAAGAAAGCAACCGAAGAGTTAGTGTCTGTGATTTATTTATTTGATTGTTTCATTTAGCCATCATTGAACATTCAATGCTCTTGAAAGTTAATGATCCTCCTGAAGGTACATTGAGCCAAGTACAACTTTCTTTGTGAAAGAAATTTGGAAAGGGATTTATAAGCAGAATCCAAGCCTGGCTTTCTAAGGCAAACGCTCTACTAGCCCCTTGCTCCTTGGCTGTTTTAGCATCGGCGAAAGCAGAGGCCTCAACACAGAGTAGTAATTTCAGCAACTTCTCCAAATAATGTTCTGGGTGAGACAAGTCAGCTCCTTCCTATTTACTTATGAGTTAATTGGTATTTAAATGCAAGTCTCCGGGCCAGTGATTTATTTTAATAATATGTTAGCCTCATGGCAGGCCCATGACTTCATGACTGCAGCAGTGGAGAAAGGGCACACCGCCCTGATGGATGTCTCAGTGCCCATGTGGCAGATTTACAGGCCACTCCTCAAGTCTGAGTCATTCTGGCCTCCTCTGCTTCCCACTGAGTGGCACCCAGCTGTTGGAGTCTCCCCACCTGCTTCAAGCACCATTGAAAAGAAGGGCCTGGGTTGAATACAACTAAGTTGGATGAGATTATTCTTGGAAAAGAAATCATCAGATACTGCAAATTGGGAGACTGTGGCATATTGGCCAAATCTGATCAATTTCCTTATGTTTATTATATGTTGCTTTTTATTGAAACAAAAGACTGTAGATGCTAACATTAAATCAGACTCTATTTTTTGAGCTATCAAATGTCATCTGCATTTTATAGGTCTCATGACAACAATGTCTATAATGATGGGTTCAGCTGACTTTCAAGGCACTCTTTAAGGTTAGTTTGTGTTTGTTAGGTTGCTAGGGGTACCTAATACATCAGTATGAATAGAAGTGTTTAATGCAGTTGCCAGATATTTGTGCAAGATAAATAGTTTTACATGTCTCAGAAGTAGAATCCAATTGGCTAAGAAGCTGGCCAAGATCTGAATTTTGACATCATTCTTGGCAACTAACAGTTTTTTTAAAAAATGTGTACAACATGAAAAAAGTACACTATATCTTTTCTAGATATATTAGACTAAAAATATAAGTTGAAATAATGAATCAATGTATGCATATAGTAAGTGTGAAATAGTCCTCCCTTATCTGTGCAGAATATGGCCTCAAGAACTCCAGTGGATGTTTGAATCCTGTAATTTAATTCCTTCTCCATCTTAACTAAGCATTTCTCACACACTGTGGCCTTAACTTGCAGTTTGAGGTGCAAGAGCAAAACTATCCCAGATCTCTTTTCTGTTTTCAGAATTTCAGACAAAAAAATCTTTTTCCTATGGATCACAGCAACCTCAGTTACAATTATTTTTTCCTTATTGAGAGTTTTCACCTTTCACTTAAAGGAAGTACTTCACAGCTTCCTTTTGGCATATTTAGACCACCAGCATCATTCCTCTTGTACTTTGGAACATTACTGAGTAAAGTCAGTGTTACTGAAACACAAGTACTGTGATACCAGAACAATTAATCTAATAACCAAGATAAACTCTAAGTGACTAATGAGCTGGTGGTATGTACAGTGTGGATACCCTGGACAAAAGGATGCCTCACATCCAGTGTGGGATGTATCAGGACAACACAAATTTTCACCATTCCACTCAACAGCAATTTAAAACTTGTGAACTGCTTATTTCTGGAATTTTCCATTTAATATTTTCAGATCATAGTTAACCATGAGTAACTGAAACCTCAGAAACCAAAAATGTGGACAAGGGGGACCACTGTATTTCCTAACTGTTGGTCATAACGATAGACATCACTGCAAATGGAAATGAATGTGGTTTTTTTTATCCTTTAGCATTACTGAAATGAGAATACATGTAGTGTAAATACATGTTATAAAGTACAACAAACCAATAAATACCTGTGAGCACACCTGAAAGCCCCAAAATGAGACTTCACTAGTCGTTTCTGACTACCCATGTTCTCCTGCACTGTGACCTCCTGCCTCACCCTGACAGTCGTGACTACCTGAAGTTTGTGTTTGCCTTTCATAGCACTTAAGAAATAGTTTTATCACACATGTATGCATGTTTTAACAATACATCAGTAAAAATTTCTTGGACTTTTTATGAGCTTTTTATGAAATGGTACATAGTATGGAGTTGTCTGAACTCAACAATATAAATTTCCAACAAGAAAATTTTTGAATCTCATTTTTAAAAAGAAAACAACTGTCTACTAATTATGCTTAACCTGTATCATAGGTATTTGTCATCTCATGACACTTCAGATACATAATTAAAATGTAAGCAATACATTTTGAGGCTTAGAGTAATATATGTGGTCTTTCTTATCATAGCTAAAAACTCTTGCCATTTTCATACTTCTTGCCTTTTAATTAGAAGATGTTTAAAATGTGTGAAATAAGTCTTATTTTGATGTTTCTGCAGTGTGCTAATTAAACCCAGAGAAGGTATATGTTTATGATACATTCACGCCTAATTATCATGTAATAATTGTCCAATTATTATCCAATTAAATATATTAAATTCTCATTTAAAATATGTATTTGAAGTGTCAGATAAAATCTAATTTTTATGGAATGAATTTATCAGGTAATGAAATTTCAGGTTTCCATCAGCTTTCAGAACAGTGCTAAATGTTGGCCTAATTATCCCTATGGAATCTTTCAAATATCTGTCTGGTTGAGTACAGATTCCGAAAAATGTAAGGTTAGGAGTGGACTGTTTGATAATCTCATTAAGAACTAAGCAACATTATATCTCTAGGTGAAAGATTTTGGTTTAGATTCTCAAGGCTTTTTCCAACCAAACATCAAGGCAGTTTTCGTCCCTTCCTCCTTAACCAACAAGAGAAACAGTTTGGTTGTCCACAAGCCTGGGAAGCATGAGACTTCCACGCAAGCCAACTACACACTGGCCACTGGGGATGCAGTTGAGAGGGAAGACCTTCTTGCTTCTCCATGTGTCTTTATTAGCCAGCTGCCATTCACAACTTCTCAGAAAGCTTCAGCTCTGCTTGTAGGAACGACCACTGCTATCATTTCCTCGGAAAAGGGAAACTGATACATTTGGAATTTGCATGCTAGACCTGTGAATGAAGATCCAATGAATTTTGTCTATAATATGTTCTCAGATTTTGGTAAAGACAGGTTTAAGTAGCCATTTCAGAACTATGGGTGTTTTCTGCTTAGTCACAGTGTTACTTGTGGTTTGTAAATATCCAGGAAGACTTGGTAGCTTCCAAGACTTGCTTCTAAGACTTGCTTCCTTGGTTCTGTGAAATTTTTCTTTTAATTATATTGTAATAATCTTTTCTAATTAATATTGCATTAATCTTTTAACTTTTATTTTGAAATCATTTCACTCATAGAAAAGTTGCAAAAAATAAGAAAGGGAGTTCTTATATTCTCCCTGTTGTGTTACCAAAGAAAATTTTCACTTTCCCCAAAGATTCACTATAGATTTCAATTAAAATAGTCATTTCAGCATGGTACATTTAAAATATACTTTCTCTAGTTATTGTTGACAGTTGCACAATTTGGTAGACAGTATCTACTACAACATCCCTGTTCC